TTTTAGTCGCCTCTTACGACAGGCAGGGATTACCGTGGGCGTATTCTGTCCCCCGCCACACAGGGGAGGCATCACTGCATCAGACCTAACCCAGACTGGCATCACTGCATCAGTGGCCTGTGGGCCTTAGTACAGGATGAGTAATTAGGCGTTTGGACTTTGGGCAAAATAAGGGTGACTAACTTGTTTTGGCGAGAGCAGCGCGGTCGCAGTTATTCAGAGTGAATCAGAATAAATAGGTTGGTCATCCAACAATAATACAATTAACTACATTTGACTGAAAAAAAAACGAAATTACTTTTCGAACCACCCAAATTTTTCCTTAACATAAGGGTTGTTTTTTGTTTTCGTTTAATCGGCACACTACACAGTGGGCCAGATCGAAGAATTAGCTGTTCACAACTGTTTTAACGTTATTTCAAGACTTAAGGACAATAATATATAGGTCGTTGAATTTGTCTTGATGTCAGCTATAATATTATTAAGTAAAAAATATATAGTGACCATGAAAAAAGCAAGGTGACTTTATTTTTTATTAAAAAAAAATTGTTTTTAATATTTTATATTGGAATTTGTAAAACAGGGTGTGCTGACTAATCTTTGTCGGAACCATTTCTTTATTAGAGCATCGAAAATGCCTGAAAAATCGTGATGACATGTGAATAATGAATTATAATTGAAAACTAGCTGTTCAGGCTTTTCAAATAAATAGAGTGATCCATAATTCTTGAATCAATGAATTTGATTACATTTAATCAGACAAGAAGAATATGTGATTATTTTCTTCTTGAAAAAATTAAACATATTCAAACAAGAGTAAGTGTAATATTTTAGCAAATTAGTGAATATAATAAATTAACCATACGGATTTTCGGCTTGTAAACAAAAAAAGCATTGTCATTTTTATTATTCTGTATTAATAAACTTTTATTTACTATTTGTCTATTAATAAACAAAAATCCATGCAATTATTCTTATTAACAAAGATAATAAACTTTTTACTAGAGCTTCACAATGTATTAATTTATTTATCTAAAATTTATTATCTATAATGAATCATCATCGTCTTGGTGGTCTTCTTTTAACATTAATCTGTGCAAGTAGTGGTCTGCAACGGGTCTCGTGCAACGCTTTAAACAATAATAGCTTATGGGGTGGGACGAGGGGGAAGTAAATCTTGCATGATTTTATAGAGAAATAACGTCTGAAAATATTTCACTTTGATAGAACGCATAACTCTTTAAAACTTTAAAGATACCCCTTGTCAAAGATGAAAAATTTCGACGATTCTCTTTACTTCACTGAGTATTATTTTTTTAAACAAATTATAAACAATAACTTTTTAATCCAGGTGCGTTCTCAATATCGACATACACTATTCATAAAAAAAAACATCGACACATAATTTTTAATAGGTTTTCCGGGGCATCAATACGAAGAAAAGTAATTTTTTCGGTGAAAAATGATATTTATAAAAGTTTGATCTTTAAATGCTTGTTTTAACTACAATTTTTAATATATCTCATTATTTTCATCGTTTTCGTATGTGATACACATTTATAAAGCAATATACATTCATTAAACATGGATATAAAGAATTTGATTTTTTGGTAAATGAACAGCTAACTCTTCGATCTGGCCCACTGTGAGCCACGTGCAAACATCACCGAAGTCGGAACGAATTTGACTGAATCACACACCGTACCAGCAGGAAATGACAAAACTCCATTATCAGAAACACAGTGCAGAGATGCAAGTTTCTTATTTATTTCTCGTTATACACTGTTACACATAAATCATTTCTTGTATATAATGATAAGCGAAGAAAATAAAGAAAATAAATGTACAACAATGTAAACTACAATAAAATGATATGCGTTGACGTATATATATTATGCATATGCGATAAAAGGCATTCAACGATACACCTATAAAGTGGCCTGCAAAAAGCAATTATAAAATGGTAAATCAATACGTCTTAATATAATAAGTGGTATATAATATGTATAATATGTATACTATATACTATAATAGAAAGGAATTTTAATATGTAACGTAATGTATTATACATTATAGAAAGTGCATCAGTCATTTGGAAACGCTGGTGTATCCCACAGGGATTTGAAAATACAGATAAATTTTGTATTGCAAATGTTGTTTCGGTAATCCCGAAATTTTAGAATAGTGTATTAAGTGGCAATGTTTTTCTGTGTGGTTGAAAGATTTCTTTAGGAAATTACTGAATAAAATCTCTTTGCCATTGAGAAACTAACCACAGCCTTGGAATACAATGTTCTAAAAAGAGTAAGTATTATACACTGTATCTGTTCCGCCAAAAGTAAATCTATTAACATGAACAGCGTGACTTCGATTATTTGCACATTCGGAACCCCTTTTCAGTGTGCTATGAACAAAAATTACCTTGATTCTCCGGAAGTTGATATACCATCTATACACACGGAATATTTATTTAAAAACCGAGTGATCGGAATTGCATTTGCTACACGGTTAAATTAAAGTTCCGTTAGCAGCCAATCGAAGACGGGGATGTGAAAAGTTTACAATCTTTACAAGTGGGACTCGAAACTTACGATTTTCAGGTCATTTGATTGGTCAGCTCTTACTTTAACACTAGAATACAGCCGTGCAACTGATTGCTCACGAACAACAGCGGCTGGAATTACCCCTCCGGGTTACCTGCACTATGGTCCTCACATTGACTTACTTAAGTGTTTCTACCAACAGTGTTCCTGCCACGAGTCAATCTGTGGATGATAGTGGGGGTAAGCCGGGAGAGCAAATTGGAGCCGCTGCTGCTCGTGAGCAGCGTTCCAGGAGACTTCCTACACAAGGGAATACATACATGGTGATCGTCTCGTGGGAGGGGTCGACAAGCAAGTCGCCTGCTTTGTCGTTTAAGAGTCGCTAGCCACCACTGCTGAGTAGCCTATGTGTGTGATAGCGACAGGGCGAGTGTCGGTTCTCACGTTCTCTCTTTCACACGCTCAGCAGGAGTAACCAACCAATGACACGTTTATGGTCGCAGCACTTGAACGGAAAAGAAAGAGCTTTCGTGGAGCGGGACCCCCGAGTGATTTTACAACTAGGTACTTTGTGGGTGACCGAAGGCCCATTGATGAAACCGCAGCCAGGTCCGTGCGTATCTTACAGAAGTATATTTACTTTACATCTCAGGCCCCTGTCATCTCTTGCTCAGTAATATGTAATTTACGTATTTATAAAGGGTAACATATAGTTGTCAAAGATTAGGAAATATATAAACTTGTTCCGTGAATGTTGCAAGTTAAACATTCGTTTACGACGAATATGTATTTGCACGAATATAATAGCAACTCTAGAATGGCAAATCAGTTTCTTTCAATCTTGAAAGGTAGATGACGTGTAATAAAACCGGAATTTCCGAAGGGAAAGTTCAAAATTAATTGTAACGGGTTGGAGACCGACGAGTCAGTACCTAGAGGAAATTCCGGGTTTTTATTAGATCACCATGCACCTTGAATAGTCCAAGTATCGCCATTCTCTACCTCCCTCCCTCCGCCCCTGTCTCACGCTCTCTCACTCTCGTTAATTGGTCACTTTGAATTTTTCATAACAGCCAATCATTTGTATAACTTATTTTCAAAGTTGTATGCTCTACCAAAATTTTGTTAAATATACCAGAAACGAAGAAACAGTTCCGTGTTGACATCCCACGGCCCTGAACAAAGTTCGAGTACCATAAAAGTCTCACATTACGGGTTTTATGGCCAAACCTAGTGCCTAGTTGTAAAATCAGTCGGGGGTCCCGCTCCATGAAAGCTGTTTCACCGACAGTACTTTATCCCCAGTGCCACTCTAAGTACATCAATTGCATTCACCAGCGAGTATTGCAGCATACACAGCTATATTACTTTCCCCCACTACCATCCAACTTTTTCCTTTTGTTTTCCCTCGATATGGTAACGTTGTTCGTGAGCAATCACTGGCGGAGCTTGCACTAGAACAATCGAATCCGTCATAATGACAGACTGTAGATTTTTTATTTTACAGTTATTGAAATCATGAAGGTGCTTTTGTCAGAATTTACGTTGACTTTTAATTTATTATACATTTTACATTATACTATATTCTGTTATACTGTATTGTGTGTTATACAATTTAATTTAGCATACATTTAACGCTGGCAGTTCTAGTATTAACAACAACGACCATGGTGCCCCCTTATTTTCACTAGTTTCCTAACATTTCTTCACGGGTCTGGGATGCCCCAAACGCATATACACGATGAATAAAAGGGCTGATACCCTGTTTAAAGAACTTGACCTTGATATCTCTTCGACTGCTTCACTCGCAAATGGAGTTGTCAGCCCTAGATAATATTTTTTTCATACAACTTTCATGAGAACAACATTCTTTACAGTTCTTACAAAAATATTATTATTGTACAATGCCATGTGAAAGATTCCAGTGTTTTTTAATAATTCCGACGCATTGTATATTACATATGCGCCACTGCTTTAAAATCTATTCTATCAACATGTTGTTCGAGGACGCTGTAAAATATCTGTTTCCAAAAGAAGAAACGTAAGAAGGAGAGGTTTTGGAATGTATCAGTGAAAGCAGTTCCTCCTATATCATAAAATTATGTTCTTTATTGTCCCATTGAAGAAGGTAAGCAAAAATTTTTCATCTCTAAAACGACCCACCGAAGAACTCGGTGAGCCTAGATCCATGGTTAAAATGCAGTGTATCGTGAACTCCTCTGTATTCATACTTGATCAGGGTCAAAGTATTGTCGAGCGACTGCCCCTAACACGATTTCTGCACTGAACACACCTATAAACGTTAAGAGTGTATTAAAACACATAATTACCCCTATTCTTTTTCTTAATATAGGAAGGAGAGTGGTAGAAGATGGCCGTGTTATGTACTTCCTGGGAAAAATACTCAAAGGACATGTGAAAATACGTCTTATGCAATCAGTGAAGCATAATAATGTATCTACAATATAATATTATACTTTTGTATCAAATACTTTTCAGTTGTAATATTGTAAATGCTTTCAAAATTGTGTGGATCATTATAACAAATATACTGTATAGTTTTATCCCTGTGGTAATAGGTTAGTAACTGACCTATGAATTATCCTGAATGAAAAGTAACAATTATACTAAAAAACAATAACTGAATATGTGACAACTTTTAGTCTTTCGTGTCCTTCTGTGTTTCGTAAGTATAAAACATTAAGAATACCACAAGACTAAATAATTTTTGTGTACAAGAAAGAATGCTAACTATATAGTGAGAAATCTATTATTTACTGGTACATATCGAGGGGGGGGGGGTTGCGCAGGTCAGTTGAACTTTTAGACTTTCATATTTAACGATATGGGACAAACGTAAAAATGTCACAACTGTTTTTTATCTTTATTCTGTCTATTGATAGCAATGTAACAAAAAACAGGCAAAAACTACACAAATATCTTCTGAACGCATAGACAGTAAAATTTCAATGAAATTAGAAGTGAAGTTACATGAGGCGTCTATGTCCCGTATCGCAATATATATGTTAATACTGAGTTACTGGAAAAGCAATGACTGCGTTGGATACTATGTATTAACATTATTAACATATACAATTTTCAAAAAATGCACCCGTCTCCGACAAATATATAATAATTTATGAAAATTCGCACATCTGAATTCTCATACTTCTAAATCTCAAAAAACCGAATGCACTACATTCTAATTTGATAAAATTTGGTATAATATATTTCTATACAATTTCATATAATGTTCATATCGTTACTGAGTTCATTTGCACTTGTTCGTGTTCATTCGTTAATGATATCCACGCGGTTTTGTACACATTTAAATTTATTTCAGGTCCGAATATTATGGGTACAAGACAGAATATGGACATTACTTTTCCCATTAACCCAACATTATCCTTATTTCAATAAGTATTTATAACTTCAAAAGGTTCATTGTAAATATTGAAAAATCACTTACTGATATTTGCACGTAAAATGTCAGAAAGAAGATGAAGATCGTTTTTATGAGTCACAATAATATAAGTTAATTTATTACTATTCATTTCTTGGATCTGCGCGAGGGATCTCCGCGTTTTTTCCATTGTTCCACCCGCGCTCTCGATAATTTCTGCGATCGCAGTGGGCGATGGTACAACACTGGGTGTCACATAAAAAATTTTCCCCTATTCAATAAATAAAATTTTTAATTAGAAACCAATTACAGAGATATTAGTTAACGACATTGCCGCAAAATTACGTATTCATATACGTAACCCTGACACTAGTAAATCATTTTAAATATCTAACTGTAAATAGTTATTTAAAGTAATACTGCACTACCATTCAAAATAATCAAGAATCAATAAGCGTCTATGAAAGATTATAGACCTATGTATTTACAGCCGTGGAAAAATTTAGTAAGCACCATAAACTGAAATAAGTATATTTTAAAATATACAGATGAGTATAGAATATGCGAAAGATAAGAAATACATTGAACGAAGTGTAATAAACGAATTTATGGTATTAGTTCGAAAGAATAAAAATATGTGTTTCCGACTACTTCATGTATTAATCATAAAACCTAAAAAAAATTTCGAAGCAACCACAAAAAGTATTAAAAAGTACATTCAATTTTGGATATGAGTTGATGCTAGTTTATAAACTATTGAAATTTAATTGTCAATCTTTCTATATTAAATAGTGAAGTAATAGAAAGCTAAGTCACCTTAAGTACTGTTCCTCGATTAGGGCTGACCAAAGCCTTTTCAATATTACAATTAAAATTCTTCTCGAACTCCGGATCGCCGAGCATGTATCCACTTTCATCTAAGAATGTGTTCCTTGCAGAACAATCGAGTAACCACTGTAACGTGACAATATATTTACAACGTGACATACAACACAACAATTTTACAGTTCTTATTGGTGCTGACATCACGAGGTGTGTAGCGTCCCGCCAACTGGCAGCCATCGCACCACCTAACTCCCGAATTCTCTGTTGAGAAAAATATTACATAATTAGAAAATCACTTAACTTCAATGTTTATACATATACGTAATACTTATTGTACTGTACATTATTGTACAGGAAAATCGCTGTATTCGCAGTGTAATATTTTAAACATTTATGTAAATAATGTTTTTTTTACAAGTTCATTAGCATGCAGCCCATTAAATCCTATTAAAATTGTGAATTATAAAATGAACTAACAACAATAATTATTGAACAATAATTACAGTTCTTAATATGCTTTCACCCTTGTCTTCGTTGCGCTTCTTCATAAACATTGTCGATCATTTTTATTTGTAATTTATTAATTTTAAGTGTAAATGGGTAAAATATCACCCAAGGATCTTTTGTGTAATAATTTCTGAGGAACATACGAGGATTAAATGTAAGTCCTGAATATTTCCAGACAATAAGTTTAATATAATATTTTCATTTTTCATTTCAACAAATTATTTCAACAAAAACTTTACTGTAATATCAGTACAGGACAATGTTTTCAATTCTAAAAATTACTTGCTTTTTGTGCTTTTTAAGTGGTTTCTTCTCTCAATTATATTTCCATCCGTAGGACATATTCTGAGAGATTGCATGACTTGTACGTTTACAAGTATACTATTCTTATCATATTGCACCATTCCTACAAAAATGACACAATCCAAAAACTTTTGTTTTTGGAAAAGTGCAAAGGACTGTCCCAACTTACTACCTTACTCCGAACAGTGTGAGTGACATAAGTGCTCTCTGACAGTCTACTTATCAAGCTAAAACATTATACTTTTGATGATTAGCCGAACAGTGTCTCTCCAACTGTCTCATAATGATAACTCGAAAAACACGTTTTGTGAGCTGTCTCACATTTGTAGCAAGGTTGCAATAGGTATAATGCGTTGCAGAGAGCAGTGTGTACTATTCTATGGTCATTTCACTAGTTAATGACTCACTTCTGTACTGTCGACGGAGACTAACAACAAGAAGAAGAGTAACGAGTGAGTCAGAAGAAATGAAAGCAAATATAAATGTTTATGTGAGTAATGCCACCGGATGGTAGATATGGCAATGCTATTATATGTATAAGGGATTGGTAAATCGTGATCATATACATATAAAACTACATGTAAGTCATGAAATCTGCGAATTCAGATATTTTACTGCATCAGTTTGCACTAGACTGCGGATTTTATGCAATTTACAGTATACCTAATCGTCAAAAATTCAATACAGTAAAAAGTTTCAGAAAATTTATTTATACTTTTTTTGTTTCGAAACCACTAAAGCCTTCAACCTATATTTGCATAAACACCCGCAGCAGTCAAGTTATCGCATTCGTCGTATCTATTACCTTTGCATGCTTCCTAGGATTAATACCAGAAAATAATATTCTCGGTTGCTTATCTGGCGGTGGAGGATCGGGATTACTGACTACGATTGGCTCGTCCAAGCCCAACAAGTGTGGATCTTTGTTTAATAACGGGACGTCCAATCGCGGCTTTTTGTATTTCCTTACGGAATTTGGACCCTGACCAACCTGCTTTACTTTATCATAAGACTCTTGAGTGATATTTATGGGCAACTTCCATGCAGCTGAAAGAAACGTCTTTTAGAATGGTGTTAGAAATCACGAGATACGGGACAGATGGAGAGAACTGATTGATTAATTGCGTGCAAGAGGACATAATCAGCGATATTTACGATACCCATTAAATGAGGCACTAGCGAATAATCCAATCTAAACGGATTGCTGAAACTGTATTGTTGATATTTCGGATTTTCGATTTGATGCATAGCATTCATTTGCCCACACAGTAGATCCGTCAACCACTGAGCATTCACTACTCCAGTCTGCCATTCCCGCGCCTTTTTGTATTTTTGACCGTCGGGTCTGAAATGTGTTTCTTTTCGTTAAATGATAGAATACTGGAATGGTTATGGTACGCTGCGGCCATTTATACGAAGACAATTCCACACACTAACTGTAAATGTCTATTTAATATTTTATCTTTTCTGTAGACGTCAATGCTTATTTCGAGGTATGTTTTCTACGAAATGATTAACGATTAGCAATGAATACAATCGAAACGGTAAATTTAAGTAAAACACAATTTTAGAAATGTAGGACAAGCTTTCTTTGTACGAAGCTTCGTTTTCGATAAATCGAATAAGAAAATTCATTAACCCATTAGGTCCCAGCGTTGCGTTATTGCAACATTTTACTTACACTTTTTTTTCAGTGAATCTACATTACTGAATTCTGTTTTTTATGTTGCAGTTATGAAAGAGGATTTCAAAGATTGGTTTAATAATTTTTCGTCACTGATTTCTTCTTCTACTTAGGTCCTCCGGTATTTTCAAATCCGAAAAAACAGAAGTATTTATACCATCATAATGACCTAATTTGTTCTTAAATCATGGAAATTTTTCGGTGTATCTTTCTTATGTAGTGGATTTCTATAAAATGATGTCTAGCATTATAATACATGTTTTTTATTTCGGCAAAATAATATGCAAGTTATTTTATTTACGTTTTTCAATAAAAAATTGCCAGAAATTGCATAAGCGCAACATTTTGTTACACAAAAAGTACCGATTCAGGAATTTTTTTGATAGCATTTATATTGCTTCCTATTCATTTTTGTAAGCAATAAATAATTATATGCGTATAAATGCCTTCTTTCACTGATTAGGACTTAATGGGTTTAGTTGCGACTTCAGAATATGACTGGCTAATCTGTGTCCGTCTGTTACTTGATGTTTATACTTGTGAGGCTCGGTATCTATTTGCTGTGTATTCTTGTATTGTATCATAGTTGCATGTCATTCTCCTGATATGATATGGTGCAACATGTGTGCTTATTTACACACTGGCTGAGCCAAATGTTGTGTCATTCCTTTCATACACTTACGAAAAACAGACAAATGACCAATCCAGCTCCGTTACGTATCTTTGAACCAAAATTTTGATACGCAAGGGTACAACACTTATCCTGTCTACACTGGTGCCTAGTTAGTTAGTTAGTTAGTTAAGAACGTATTTCCCGGGAGAGAAGGTTTCGGTATCTCTTCCAAGGCCACAGCTCGGCTCATGCGCACTAGCTTCCACAAAGTCCCTCGATTGGGGTTAGGGTAACACTGATCCCTGCTGAGGCGATGATACTGGGGGTACCACCCCTGTCGCGGTCAGCCCAACAGTGTCCTGAGGTGACCCCTCGGCACTGGAGGATGGAGGAGGCGGGACGGACTAACAGCCGCCCCTGGGGGGGGGGGAGTAACAACACCCCCCTACTGAGGAGAGCCACCCCCCCCCCATGTGGGGAGGAGCATGGGCAAGGCCGGCCGCGAAAGCGTGCTTAGGCGTCCCCAGGGCCAGGCCTCACGCCCGAGGGAGTCACCGAGGGGTTTTTAGTGCGGTAAATCCCACATAGGCCGTCTCCGCCCCCAGCCGGGGCGGTACACCTTTTTAAGGTTTACCACCCGTAAAAAAAAATAGAGTAACACTGATACCTAACCGCGGTATCATACAAAGATACGCAACAACTGGATACCGGGCTTAACCCACTGACAGCCGTAAGCGTACCAGTAAGCCATATGGTTTATGTGTCATTTTTGGCTTTACTATTTGAAATGTTCATTTTCCCTCAGTTGTGCAGGCTACTTAAGGAAAATAATAGTTTCTGAGTATTAGGTTAAGATTTCTCGTTCTTACATTTAGAAATAATCTATTCATATGTGTGTTATTGAACATGGACTTATTTTCAAGAATATAAAATAATTTTGTAAATATTGTCTACGTATATGTGGCCACTGTAAACGCATTAATGATAATACTTCATTGCCATAGATACAGTTATACACAGAAGTATCAGCTCACTTCATACATATGAAATAGTCTATGTATTAAAGTAACGTGAAACTTAGAATTAGCAATTATAATTTATATAAGTGTAAACATTGATGAACATACTTTAGATTAGGGTACATTTGACTATGAAATTATATACAGTTCGTTTAAGAAAAAGTAACTGAAAAGTTAAGTTCTGTTTAAGAAAAGTACTGTAATTTGACTGAAGTCTTAAGTTCGTTTAAGAAAAGTACTGTAATTTGTAGAAGTGTCAGAAAAATGAACACAACGAATTTTACAGAAAAACTAGTCCCATCTATGTAACAAATTAAAACTTTAATAATTGAAGTTTTTTTGTTATGTAGATTAGTTCCAATCTATACAATGAAATAGTAAGATCGCGAGAATATCTAAGGAATCAAAAATCAAAATAAAATAAATATGGACGTATACTTCTGTATGCGTTATTTTACAACTGTTGTAAATAAAAAATATATATTTATAAAAAATTTTTAATGAACTATGTATAATTTCGCAATTGAATGTATCCCAATTCTAAAGTATATGAATCAAGGTATACACTGATACAAATTATAAATAGCATTTCTAATTTTAAGATCGTCCAAATGTATGAAATATGTTATACATATGTGGTGGGTGGATACTTCTGTGAGTATGCTGTACATGATCAAATAATCCTAAGCAAAAACAATTGAAGGTTCAGACCAGTAATTATTGCACAATGGACTCCGCAATGTTACTAAACTGTAAAAACATATTTATTTTCCATTATGTATGCTTGTGTTCCGAATTCTATCTACAATTCTTACTGATTTTATGCTAAAATCATACGTTTGATAGTACAACTTGAAATTGTATGTCAATTGTGTTAATTTACGTGACAATGGTAAATTCCTTAATTCTGAAACAACCCAGCATTGCTAGACGTTATCTCTTGAAGTAATGTCTTAAGATAGTTCAAAAGGAGGATGCCGTGGGAAAGAGGTATGGTACTCAACTTGGATTAATTCGCTTCTGAAGTAACAGAGGAATACCCAGGAATAAAAAAAGGATAAGATATGTCAAAGGAACAATGTATTGCAGCTAGTGTTGGTCAAGCAAACCATTAAAATGTGTTTAAATATCTGACGCAAGAGTCTAAACCAGAGATGTCCAACTATTGTTCACGAGCAAATCTACCATTCCGGAGGTATCACCACTATGGGATTCGGGATGACACACTCGAGCTGTAGCCGAAAGACCATTGTTAGGGACATTCGCTCGAACAAGCAAATCAGTAAACCATAGTGGGGGTACCTCCGGAGGAGCAGATTCGCTCGTCAGCAGCAGTTGGACATCCTTAGTCTAAACAGTTCAGAATTAAAGGTCGCTTTCAAATAGTTTGATGTATCAAACTCCAAACAGTCTGATGTAGTTGCAAACTCCAAACTCTCAAGCTTCTGTAGATACTGTAAAGTTGCTAAACAGTGACAAAACATTCCAAACTTGAAGCCACTCGAGCCTCGAACGTCGACACGAATTTGGGCAAAAAAATGAGGTATTACACGAAAACACATAAAAGCTAAAAAGTTCAATTTAGTTTAAAAAGATCGAGGAGAGTTTAAGATGTAATTAAATATAACGAACACTCAGTTTTAAACACGAAAAAATGTACTTGACCATCGACGATTCCGAAAGTTTTAATTCTTTGTCAAATTAGTCCTCTTAACTTTTCTTGTATGATTTTATTCCATTTTTGAAGCGGAATTTTCGCCAACGTTCACACCGCGTTTCAAATTTACCGGTTCTCGTCTAATTGCGTGTCCGTGTCGGCGACTCGTCCGCTGGTTATTGAAATATGTCTGCTTAAAGAAGTGAAAACTGTGCTTTGAAGCCTCCACAGAATTTAAGGAGGTACGTCACGCGCCAGAGGATAGACAAATTGTGTTGTTAAAGTGGGAAGTGAATGAATATAGGCCCGAAAAAGAAGAAAGTGGACCAATACAACCTTAACTCAGAAGAAGCCACGCCGCGTGGCGTCGTTGACAACGCGTCCAACAAAGCTATAACCCAAAAAGGAGAAATAGATGATCCTAGGAGAGATGACACCAGTAAGAATGCAATTACAGATATTAACACAGATAAGGAGGATTACGCATTAGTGATAACAAAGTCATTGATAAGAAAGTGGTATAATTCACAAGTTGACAACGAATATTCTAAAAGAATAAATCGGAGAAAACTTGTCTGAGTTAATAGATTTAGTGCATTATAAGACAGAAGTGATATGGACCTCGAAGACGAAGCACAAAACAGCACCCATAGACGGCAACTTGTGCTCATAAATTCGGAAACTATTAATAGGAAAAGTAGGAAACCACCACCCCTTGTAATGCACGATGATGTGAAAGACCACAAATTATTTATCAGACTAATAAATAATGTAGTGAAAAACCAATTTCATATAGAATACTATAAAGATACTGTAGACGTGCACTTGCATGATCTAACTGATTATGACAATCTAGAAAATGTTTAGACTGGAAAAGAATTGATGTTCCACACATACACTAGAAAGGAAGACACAAAAAGAGTATATGTTTTACTTGGTCTGTACGATTAGGCAGATCCGGAGGAGGTAAAAAGAAAACTGCATGAAAAAGGCATATGGGCAGAAAAAATAAGAGAAATGAAAGGTACAGCAAGACCACTTCTTAGGGACACAGTGCCTGTATCCTTACATCTAAAAGAACAGCAAACAAAAGTAAAACATCTATGCTATGTGAAGGTTGCCTGGGAAAACTATATTATAAAGCGAAAAATAACGCAGTGCCACCGATGCCAAGAATGGGGACATTCTGCGTCTAATTGTTTCGCGGACCCGGCATGTGTTAAATGTGTTGGAAAGCATTTAACAAATGAATGCGCTAAACCCAAAAATGAACCAGCAAAGTGCATAATTTGTAACGAAAACCATACAGCAGATACAACAATTTGTAATGTTTATAGAAATAGACTAAGCTGGTTAGAGAAAAGTAAAAGCA